TGGAGGGCCTAGGGTCTACTTGGAGGTTTAGGGTTTAGGGTTTAGGGGCTTCCATACTTGGAGGTTCACGGGTAGTTTTAAGTAGGGTTACAAGTCCCCTAAAAAGGGTTATAATTACAGCTACCCTACTTATAACCCCACTTATCACTACCCATGAACCTCCAAGTAGGATTCAGGATCAAGTGTGTTGTTTGGGGCTCCCTTTCTGAGCTGCTGTTACGCATGAAAAGTTTCTACCTCAGGATGAGCCATTAGGTCAGTAGGCCGCGGCCTCTGACGTAAGTAAACCAGAGTACCTTAGGGTCTAGGGCCTAAACCCTAAACCCTAAACCCTATAGGGTCTAGGGTTTGGGGCTTAGGGCATAGGTGTAATACGGGGGCCTTTATACTTCGAATAGGGTTTGGGGCCCATTATACTACATTTATAATAAGGACCTTCCCCCCCCCCCCACAAAAAATAGTACTAGTAATTATTTAGGCCCCTAAACCCTAAACCCTAAAACCCTAAACCCTAAACCCTAAACCCTAAACCTGGGGTTTAGGTTACGGGACCCGGGGTTTCAGGATGAATTGAGGTCAGGGTTACCAGGGCCGGAGCCTCAGCTCGAAATCTACACCATGATTCCGAAGTCTTCCGGGGAGAACCAACAGAGACTAGGGATGTTTAGGGGTTTAGGGTTTAGGGAATAGGGTTTAGGGTTTAGGGGTTTAGGGTTTAGGGTTTAGGGACTGTGACCCAAACAAGATATCTTCAGAATGTGAATTGACAGCTCTCTATTGAGGCACTATATATCATATTTTGCTATGTTGTATAATGTTTCTTATATTGTCTTGCATTGCTTGTATGGTATTGTGTTGTATTGTTTTCATGATGACCATAAACATGTCGTCAAGGCACCTCAAGACCGGGAAATCCCGAAGCAATGTCCTCCCCCAAACCACGAGGAGGCTGCGCATGCGCGGCTCCTGCAGAACAAGAGGTCGTTGAACGGACTACAGGCTTGGCTCGAAGGATTTAGGGCTCTAGTACCTTACGTGTCTCTTATCCTTCCTTACTTGGTATTCAGGCTTTACCCTAAACCCCTAAACCCTAAACCCTATACTCATAAGCAGCAGCGAGGATTGCCCTTCGCCGCCTTCTTACGTGGAAATGACAGTAGCGGAGCAGCTGAACCCCAGATCCTAGCCCTAGACGCCAAGTCGGGGCGAAATCGGCGGCTACTATGTGAAATTCTATAACCTATACGGCTGCTTGTCTTCTGCAGCTGCTGCTAATTTCTGAATACCTTCAGACAATCCTTCAACCCTCAACTCTCTTGAATCCCTAAATCCCAAAGCCTAAACACCTACAACCCCTCACAGGAATCTTCATTACTTGCACTCCATCAGCCCTTTTAAACCCTCACAAAACCCTATACATCCCTGGTAAAACCTGATAAAAACACTTAGAAAGCCGTATACAACACCTATGAAGCCCTAATGATATCCGGGTAAATCTCTACAACTCCCTGTGAGTCCTGCAACATCTTTCTTAACCCTGTACGGCCCCTTTATCGAACCCTTGCAAGCCCCATACCATCATCTCAGGAACTGTTTTAAACCTTTCAACCATCAACCCTAAACCCTAAACCCTAACTTTCAAACCAAAGCTTTTCACCCTTAGAATTAGAAAAAATCCATAGAAAATCCTATAAACCAAGCCTGTAAACGCCAGCAAAGCACCGCTCGCAAACCATTTCTCCAAAATCTCGACTTGGACGGGCATGGGTACTAACAAGTGGGGTGGATAAGCAGGGCAACTATAGTTATAACCGATATCAGGAGACTTATAACCCCACTTATAACTACCCTAAACCCTAGCCCCTACACCCTAAACCCTATAGAACCCCCCAAGGAACCCTGTAACTACGGGACTTGTAACCCCACTTACAATAGAAGCCATAAAGCTGGAACATTAGAATCCTCATGGCCCTAAGGTAAAGTATAGGGAATCCCAGCACCAATCATCCTAAATCCATGTTCCAAGTTCCTGGGGTTCGCTGTATAACTACCCATGAACCTCCAACAAAACCGAGGTCGTCCTGAGCTCGGGCGGCGGAGCGCCGCAGCGGATGGGGCCTTCACAGTCGTGTTCCCTTTTCTGTGATCTTGTTACGGCTTAGGGTTTAGGGGTTTAGGGTTAAGGGTTTCAGTGTTTAGGGGGTTTAGGGTTTAGGGGAGCTTAATCTACCATAATTGAGCGTTTCGGATTTAGGGTTCTGGGCTCTTGTTAAAGAAACCATACCTTAAAGTTCCTGTCAGTGTTTAGGGGTTCGGGAGCTGAGTGTAAATTACTCTAAGAGGGATCTAGAATCTATAGTTAATAATGACCGAGTCCCCGTATTAATGGTAACTTTGTTTGATTTCGAACCCAGATTATAATGAATTCGGTCCCTTCCCATACCCCTATGGAGGGTTTCAGGGGCTGAAGACTGAAACTGCCACTCTACCCTGAACCCCAAACCTCCACGAGATCATTCTAAGCGCCAAAGCCGACTGAAGGCAAACCGCCAGAAGGAAAGCAACGCATCGAAAACGCCTCTTACAGAACCCCTAAAACGAAGAGGCACGACTCCGTCCTGGCAAAGCGCATAGATCAGAGGCAGTCGTCTGCTTCAGACTTCGCGTCCGGCACTGTAAGGGCCAGCACACCCGTGTCACACTGAACCATAACTTGTTTACTCACTAGAGCGTAATCTGTGATGTGCTATATGGTCTTTATAATATACACTAGATAGTAGATAATGAGTATTATATATGCTCATACATATATATAGGTATATCTAGGAATACGTTAATATATGATAATATATGTACATATGATACACATATATATATATATGTATGTATATATATATATATATGTATATATGTGTGTATTCTAAAATATAAGCGCAAAAGACGCTCGGCCAGTGCACAACTGGAACACGCCTCGCCCAGGAATTGGAGCAGTGCCGCCTTGTGGATTTCAATATCCCAAACGTTTTCATTCGTTGCTGGCAGAGCTGAATCTTAGGGTTTAGGGTTTGGGGTTTAGGGGTTTAGGGCTTAATGCAGTCGTCCTCAATGACTAGAATAGGTTTGTGGGGCAACGATGCAATAACTCTAGTAGGGGGCCTAATACAGGGGGCCTCAAAGTACAATAGGCTTGTGGGTCAACTGTATCATACTCGTATTAGGGAATGTGAGGGGGGATCCCCGCTAATGATTCCGTCCCCCTAATAGCCTAAGTTCAGCTCTGACTTGTTGGCCATATTGGATTGATCTTTTACTGTTTCTACTCGGAGGTCATGTTACTGTTACGCCTGTGGCGGACGTTCGGGACTTCCAGCAAGTGCACATAGCAGACTGCTTGATGACACACTTGCGCATGTTTATTCTTGTGCTACGTGCTGCGTGGTACTTGGAGGATCATGGGACTTAGTAAGTAAGGTTATAAGTCCCCTAATTGGGGTTATAAGTATAGTTACCTTAGTTATAACCCTACTTACTAAGTCCCATGATCCTTTAAGTATGCTTGTTACCCTCACCTGCGCCAATGAAACGCCGCAGTCCTCCGGCAGTTGTCAGAGTTTAGTGCGCCTCCTTCCTCCGCCGGGAAGTCAGCAAAGATTCCCGGAAACTTAAACAGAAAGGAACGCTGTGGGGGCCCGTGTTTGTCGTGTGGAGTAGTTGCATACTGTGGTGTAAGGATCACATACTTTGACACAAAGGAACGCTCAACTTGAAACCATGACTGTTTCGTGGCCTTGTCAAGGAGAAAAACTACATTCAGGTTGGAAAGATCTGGGCCATAAATGGGTTTCAAGACGACATCCGCAACTTCTTCGTTTTCAGCAGCCTTGACATTGGCGCTTCGCAAGACAAGGTACTGTGCAACATCCAAAAGGTAGGATCCCTACTATAAGGAACCACAGCCCTAAAACCTAAACCCCTAAACCCTAAACCCTAAAGCCCTAAAGCCCTAAACCAAACCCTACTATAAGGGACCACTTCGGTGTGAGAACCCTCGCCCTAAGAGACCTCCACATCCCAAAGCAACAGTCGTTCACTGCCATAAACCCTAAAACATCTTCATCCAAGGAAATTTGCTCCCAGGTACCCATTTTGCGTTGTGGGTTCCGACTACAAACACTAAACCCTACGAGCTTATGGGTCCGCATGACAAGTCCCACAAAGTGAAGTTCAGGGCCTACATTGACAGGATCCACCATCTTTTCCCCTTGCATGCTTCAGTGTTGGTGAGGCGTCAGTATGCTTGGCATGCGCAATCCCAGTGACTTTCTTGAAGCAGCTTGCTGAGCTAAAAGATTTGCACTTGGAAGTTCTCGCTCTGCTATCCTCAGAGAAACGTTGCTTGCCCAGCGGCCGGCGGCGGTCCACCCGACATGCTTGAATTCTCACATGCAGCTGTGCTGATGACTCTGTGTCGACGGAGATTGATGTCGTGGCTTTTGGGGTTCAGGGTTGAGCTTAGCAATATCTGTTGGCAGGAAATGTAGACTCCTACTAGGGATTTCCAGAGGTAGGAGGGAGGACATCCCTAGACATCACCACTCTAAAGCCCTGCAGTCCTGCTTGCTGGAGCCTTGCAATGCATGCTGGCCGGCTCTGGCATACCTGGTGAGCCAAGGCACATACACAAACACGTCATCGCAAAGTGAGACGATGCGCAAAGAGCTTAAACCTAGAGGCTGAGTACCCTAGCCCAAAGAAGGTTAACCTTTTCAATTATAGTAGGATTAAAACAGCCCCAACAGGTTAAATGTTACCTACGCAGCCGCTAAGTAAAGCCCCCAAGACCCGACCAAGACCCCAAGACCTTATGAGGACCCTGAGACTTACTGTTGATGATATAAACCCTGCAATACCTTAAGGACCCTAAACTATGGGAATTAGGGTATATTTTCTTATGGGTAATGCAGGATTTGTATCATCAACTGTATCCACAAATACAAGGATCCCTGCCTGAATAGCTACCAAGCCTTAGTATACCCCTAAACCCTAAACCCTAAACCCTAAATCCTAAACCCTAAACCCTAAACCGTGTACATCCCAAAGCCCTGTTCTAATTACTGAGAGCTCCGGGACTCGCCTTATGCCAGTAAACCCTAAATCCCCGACCCCAAACCCTAAAGCCCTAAAGGAACCCTCGAAGGATCCTTAAAGGAACCCTTAAAGGAACCCTTAAAGGATCCTTACAGGAACCCTTAAAGGAACCTTTAAAGGATCCTACAAGGAACCCTTAAAGGAACCCTTAAAGGATCCTACAAGGAACCCTTAAAGGAACCCTTAAAGGATCCTTACAGGAACCCTTAAAGAACCTTCGAAAGGAACCCCTAAAGAACCCCGGCATTCGCGTAGGTCCTTTTACGCCACCGATCCTCCCAAGGGCTCCGAGTCTGAGAGGAGCTCCACCTCATGGCGGTTTTGGCGAACAAAAGGTTTAAGGTTTAGGATTTAGGGTTTAGCGGGCCCATAATCATTGTGCAGCTTAGGGTTTTAAGGATCTGAGCAGTGTTTCTATGGGGAGAACAAAAGGATAAGCACTATACGGCTTAGGGCTTAGGGATTAGAATAGTGTTTCTATATGGTCTTCTCGGTCTTTGTATAGGTGTCATAACCGTGGGAGTAGCGTTTCTGCAGGTTGTTGAAGTGTTATATCGGTGCCATAATCCATGAGAAGCTGTGCAGGTGTGTATACGGGAGGGTACCCGACTGTAAAACGCAGTTGACCCCACCCTCCCCTCCAAACCCTAAATCCTAAGCTGAAGCCCTAACAAATCCTCAGTCCACAACCCTCAAACCTGACACCCTAAAGCTTAAGGTACCTAAACCTTAAGTCAACTCCGAAACCCAATTCGGAGCGCTAAACCCTAAACCCCATATAACCCTACTGCTATATAGGTACCACAGGGGTTTAGGGTAGTATATACTTTGGCCCCAAAGTATCCACAAAGCAACCCGAAATTTTGAGCTAAATCCTGCCCTAAACCCTAAACCCTAAGCCAGCTGGTTTTCGGCCTCTATGGACTCGCCACTGATCTCTCCACCGTTGAAGTCGTTGTACAAGGCCGTGGCATCCTCGCCAAGGGTGATTTGAGGCTTCCGGGGGGCTGCCGTAGAAGAGTTTTGGAGTCTAGGGCGTGCAAAGCCCGTAATATAGTGGTCTTAATAATTTCAATGGGGTTTTGGGGTATAGTATACTATAATGGAAATAAGGAACCCCCCAAAATAGTATGGTTAATCATTTAGGACCCTATAGTATTCGAGTTCTCATATTGCTCAGGCCCCTTAGGGTCACACGCTTGGGACATGCGGGTAGACGAAGGAAAATGCATCCCGCGCCTCTGCACGCTCGAAAGCCAACCAAGCAGTCGCATCCTGCAGCAAGGTACTGGAAAGGCTCATGCATACCTACCTGGGGTTTGGTTTTAAAGGGTATCCATGGGTGGTGTGAGGGTTGTATCAGTTTACTCTGAGGGGCTCGACGGTAGCAGTGCTTTACTGCTGACCTGCTCTCACGCAAAGGCCCCGGGTACTCCAAGTAGGTGTTCTTGTTTTGGGGCAAGCCCCTCGTTCATAGCTGAAGACAGTTTCAGGCCCCGCAAAACCAGGGAACGGAACCATTTAGAACGTGGGACCCCAAATTTCAAGAGGACCTTAAACCCTGAAACCTCAATTCTAGACCCTTAACCTCGCCCTACCCAGCACATGGGTAGTTCTCGAAATTAGGTTCCTTTTTTCCGTCCCTAGTACGGCAGCCTTAGAGAAAGGACCCCAAACAGGACCGTAATTTAGAGAACTACCCACCTGGTTGTATGTAAGGTAACTACAGGCGTCGACCATATTAGGGGCCCTATACGCACACTTATGAACCACCCCTAAAACCCTAAACCCTAA